AGAAACGAACTCCTTCATCTTCCCCCAAGGGCAGCGATGCGTGTTACCCTCCGAGGTGAGGGTCACCAGTCAGAGCCAAGTGTGCGTGGTGGGGCAGAAAGTGCTGCTCCCTGTCCCTTTGGGTCACTATGTGGGCTCTCTGTGTTGCCTTGGCTGCTGGGAAGACTACGGATGGGAAGGAGGAGAGGGAATGCTTTCAGAAGTAACAGCTTAAGCTGGAAGTCACGGAGGACTCTTGTGTCCTTTAGTGATCTAAAGGACTTAATGAAAATACAGTGTTCTTAAGAAAATGTACTGTAATGTGTTTGAAGTGCCTGAGGCCACTTTGGTGCTGGCAGGCACGATGCCTCCAGGTTTTAGGCCGCGTTGCAGCCTTAATGATTGAGTTTGAACCCCTTGATTTGTCCTGAACTAATCATCTTGTGAATCACAAGTTTCGTGCCTGCTGGAGCTGACGTGACCCTCAGCAGCAGAGCTTGTAATGCAGCAGCTTGTGCTCAAGGGTAGAAATTGCTTCCCCAGGAAGCAACTTTTACCCTACTGTGTGTTTGACCTAGGATATGGCTCTCTTCTGTAGAGGGGGTGACAGGCCAAATGAGCTGTTTGGAAATTAAAAGCTGGAAGAGGACAGGCATGCGATAGCAATACCTGCCCTTTGAATCTTGCTTAACAAATGTGACGTGCGCCGTGGTGATGAATGTTGGAGGCTGTATGATTGGGTTTTAAACAATTCCTGGCAGGCAAGAGTTAACTACCCTAGATCTGACTAGTCTGACCTTGCAGCTGCAGTCTTCACAAGTACTTGGAGCAGGTGAGACCTCAATCTGTAGCTGTCAGGAAGCACCTGGCCACAGCAGAAACCTGCAACTCTTAAAGAGAAAAGTGTATTAATACCCTCTGGAGTTGCATGACTGTGTAGAACACATGTAAGTGTCTGCATACTTACGTGACTTGTGTTTTAAGCACAAGAGAGTGATCTGAGCAAGGGCGACAAGACTCCTTAAAGTGCAAACGTTCGGATGAGGATGTGACTGAGTCTGGTCAGTGAGGTTTCTGAAGTCCTTGGTGTTAAAGCACAACGCTGGCATGGTGTATGCCAGCTCTTAAAAGCTTGTTCGCCTCCCACAAATGAGCAAAAGCCTGGGGCAAACATGAATATTTCTAAGAAAAGTAGTTTGATTATGCACTGTGTCTGAAGAAGAGTGAAGAGTTGCTTACAAAGGCTGGAGCGCAGATTGAATAGTTATCTGACTTGGTAGCGGAAACTCTGTCTAGGATGCTGAAGAGCTGTAGCTGTTTGCAGGAGCGAGGTGTACTTGGCCCTCATCCCATGAGTGGTGGATGCTGGGTGGTTAAGGAAGGAAAAACGTGTATGAAAGAAGACATCTTATGTCTCCGGTGTAATTAAAGTGCTTTCAGTGGATGGGATCTCTCAGCTCTGAAACTAACACCTGAGTGTCTTCTATTTTGTGTGTGTTGGAGACAGCAGTTTGAGCTTTATGTATAACGAAGAAAAGCTTGGAGCATAACTTCCAGAAGTGCTTTGTGCTTATGGCTCCTCTGGCATCGGCTGGTGCTGTAGATGATATTAAATTTAGGTAAAGCTTAAGTGTCATCTTTGTTAATTTCCCTTTGACAAACTGCTTTGCTGAAGTACTCAGCGCTACCTCACCAGGACAATAACAACTAAAATTTGTGCCTGTACCAATAGAGAAGCTGAGTATTGTTTCAGGTGAAAGGCTTGCTTTTCCATAGACTTATTTCTTGCTAGTTGTGTCTCTGTAGACAGAAAAATAGAGCACAGGACATACCTAGGAAGCATAAACAGAAAGTCTGACTTGCTTTTTGTCTTTTTTTATTCACCTCCCTACAGGTTTTCTTTGAGAAGGAAAAACCTGAAGATGGCATGCAAAGGAAGGAACACGGACTGCATGTCACGCAGTGTACTGAACTGGGAGCAGGTCAGCCGTCTGCATGAGGTTCTTACAGAGGTGGTTCCGATCCATGGACGAGGTAACTTCCCAACGCTGAAGATAACCCTGAAGGACATTGTTCAGACTGTTCGGAGTAGGCTGAGCGAAGCGGGCATTGTGGTACACGATGTCCGTCTGAATGGTTCTGCAGCTGGTCATGTCCTGGTCAAGGATAATGGGCTGGGATGCAAAGACCTGGATCTCATTTTCCAAGTTTCTCTTCCAAGCGAGGCAGAGTTTCAGTTAGTTCGAGATGTGGTGTTGCGATCCCTCTTGAATTTCTTGCCAGAAGGCGTCAGCAAGCTAAAAATCAGCCCAGTAACACTGAAGGAAGCCTACATCCAGAAGCTAGTCAAAGTGTACACGGAGTCTGACCGCTGGAGCTTGATATCCCTTTCCAACAAACACGGCAGGAATGTGGAGCTGAAGTTTGTAGACTGTATAAAGCGACAGTTTGAGTTCAGTGTGGACTCCTTCCAAATCATACTGGACTCCCTGCTCTTTTACTATGACTACTCGGAAACCCCCATGTCGGAGCACTTCCATCCAACTGTGATTGGGGAGAGCATGTATGGAGACTTCGAAGCAGCTTTTGATCACCTCCAGAACAAGCTGATCGCTACCAAAAATCCTGAAGAGATCCGAGGTGGTGGGCTTCTGAAGTATAGTAACCTCTTAGTACGAGACTTCAGGCCCATGGATAAGGATGAGATCAAAACGTTAGAGCGCTACATGTGCTCCCGATTCTTCATAGACTTCCCAGACATCCTGGATCAGCAGCGCAAGCTAGAGACCTACCTCCAGAACCACTTCTCCAAAGAAGAAAGGAGCAAATATGACTACCTCATGATTCTGCGCCGGGTGGTGAATGAGAGCACGGTCTGTCTCATGGGACACGAGCGAAGGCAAACTCTCAACCTGATTTCTCTGCTAGCACTCAAAGTATTGGCAGAACAAAACATCATCCCTAACGCCACTAACGTTACCTGTTACTACCAGCCAGCAGCATATGTTAGCGATGTAAACTTCAGCAACTACTACCTTGCAAATGCTCCTGTGCCGTACAGCCAGTCCTACCCCACTTGGTTGCCCTGCAACTGATTGTTTCACTTGAATGTCCTTGGGTGGAGGCTACTGAAGGCCAAGATGCTGAGGGTATATAGAGACAAGTAGTAACTGTCACTTGGGGGTTTTCTAATGGGAACATGACTGCTTTGGACTGTGTCTGCTTCCTGGTGTGCAGTAGGAATATGCAACCAGGTGACCTGCTATGAACCTTTCGGTATTATCTCTACGAATGCCAAGAAGCCTTATTGTTACTTCATTACAAGAAGAGAGCCAGCAGCCAAACTCTGAGGAGTAGTTGCAAAACTGCTAGTTCTGGAAGTGGCTAGTAACGAGATTGAAGTGGAGTATTTAGCAAACTAGGTTAGTTAATAGAGGAAAGACTGTACAAATGTCTTGAGCAGTGCAGAAGGCACTCCTGGAATAGCAGCAAAACTCTGCTTTCTATTGCCTAACCTCATTACACTTCCTCCTTCCAGTTCTGGCCAACTTTCTATTGAGCTGATTGTGCAAGAGTGGGTTAATGTCATGCTTGGGTGGCCGCTGCTCTCTGGCTGTGTAGAACTGGTAACAGTATGGATACTGTCTGTCTTGTAGAGGGCCTAAATGTTGTTTCCTGTAGTATCTAGGGATACATGGTCCTTCCTCCAGCTGAATTTCTTGGAATTTAAAGCTAGATTAGTATTTCTCTAAAGCATAACACTGGCTGAATTTTTGAGTACAAAAGATTTGGAAGGTGGCCTCTCTAAACATGCACCAAAACATGATTTAAAACTTGCTAATATGAGAAGTCCTCGAAATGAGGAATTGAAGCCTTAAATAGAATTGGAACCACAGTTTGAATAGTTAGGATGGAAAAAAGGCTAAGTTCAGGCTCAAGATAAAGCCATTCTGGCTGTGTCTTTCAAAAAACATTTTTGGCACAGTTGGAAAGTAGCACAGCTCTTTACAATGAGGTTTGGCCCAACTTTCTTCCTCACAGGTCTGCAGCAAGTGAAAAAAAAAACCAACAAAACACCACCAAAAAACCCAACATCACCCCCAAAATCCAAACCACTGTAAGCTGCAGGATGATGTGCACTCCTGCCACAGCATAAATTCCTAAAGTGCCTCTTAAAGTGAATTTCTTCTTGTGCAGCTTCAGGAAGGTCCTGAAGGCTTGTCTTTCTGTCACCACTGAAGGGTTGTGCTTCCTGGTTTGTCACTATCACCTACTCACTGTAAGAGATGGTGGTTTGTGTGGGTAGAGTCAAATTCCTGCTCTTTACTGGCCTTGACATACCTTTCCAGGTGAGGGTTAAGCCTAAGCAGAGCTCTCCACAGAGGCTGTGTGTGGTGAAAGGCTGCCCCTGTTTTTAGAATAGCCCCTGGAAGAGTGTGTGCTCCCTTGGAGGTGTAGGGGGCTGACCTTCCTAAAGGTTATGTGCTGACCTTGCTGCTTTGAAGCTCCTGTGCCTTATAAAAAAAGGTCAAAGGTCCCCCAGTTATGTGGGTAGTGGTATTAGTAACTGGATGTCTTTCACTGAATTGCAATAGTAAAATATGTGTAGCAAGTCTTGTTTCCTTTGCTTAACCAGAGAAGTAGACTAGAAGGGCAAACCTTTTCGCACCAGTACATATTAAATAGCTCTGTTTAAGAATACTTGTTTGCTAAACCTATTCTATGACTGTCTCCACAAGCTTCTGAGACCCAAGTGCCTGATCAAACAAATGATTTCAGCTTAGAAGGGAAAGTGGAGAGCAGGTGAAACACCAATGTAGAGTTGCTGTTCAAGGTGGAAAACAGTAGCAGTCCAGCACTTAAATGGCAGTAAAAAAAACCTGCCTGCTGTTTGTAGGACCAAAAACTTCTAGTTACATGGCAAGTTCTCACTTCTCATAACTACTTCATAAAGACTGCCTCAATGTAGCAGTGTGGCTAATCCTCTACTTGGACTTCTTCAGTTAGCTTGGGAAGGCAGGGAGGGATACCATCTGGGAAGCAGACTGTAGCCACGCATGCTTTAGCTTAACTTTTTTTGAACAGTCTTGTAAGCAACTTCAGTAGCAAATAGGCAAATAATTTGGTGTCTCCTGTTGTGTTTTTCTCATTAAAGGCTTCCTAAGCAGTCAGCCTAAGTAGCTAAACTTGACAGTGAACCCAGACCCTTTCACTGTGGCTTGGACTTGGTGTAGCTTACAAGACAAGGCATGTCTCACCCAAGACTCTTGGGAAGGCTTTTTATTGACTAATATTGACATGTGTGTTAAACTTAGTGTAAGCTTCCTGCTGGAATGCAAACCTAGGTGAATAACTTCTGCACATAAGGCAATACTTGGCCTAGTGTAGTGCATCACTAGAAGGAAGGAAGTATTTTGCTTAGGAGTTTGTAACAGTGGTCATCTCTTTAAACAGCTGTTTTTAAAGGCAAGGTAAGCTACACCCATTGCAGAAGTAACCCACTGCCTAGAAGACGTTTGATTTGCATATCAAATAGCTTAGCCTTGTGTATCTGTCTTGGTGATCTCCTGGCTTGGTAACAAGTTCCCTGCATCAGCTCAGGTGGAGAAGGGGTCAGATGGCCTAGAAGTCATTGTTTGATTTGCATATCAAATAGCTTAGCCTTGTGTATCTGTCTTGGTGATCTCATGGCTTGGAAACTGTTCCTGTGCATCAGCTCAGGTGGAGAAGGGGTCAGATGCTCAGGAGACGTCCTCACAGGCTTGAAACAAGCAGACTTATCTCAGACTGACCTTCTATTAGTCTTTGAATGCCTTGGCTGCTGAGCACAAGGCCAGGCGCATCTACTGGAAAAGGCAGTGCTAGGAAGAAGGCTCTAATGGATTCCTACTGAGACAGAGATATGGAGGATTTAAGCTTCCTGCCCTAAATATTGTGATTTTGCTCATGTAACCTGTTGCTGAGGCTTCTAAGGAAGCTTTAAAATGAATGGCTGCTTTTTGAACAGCTGACTGCCTGGGTTTAAGTTTTACATGGCTGCTGTGTTCCCTGTCTCTTAAGGTGCGCTGGTATATTAGCAATATTGATGCTTTGAAGCCTGGCTGCTGGATGTTAAGCTCCTGAATAGTTCAGCTGTACCCTAAAGCTGCATGCTGTTTCAAGCTCTCCTAGCAGCCTGATGTCGCTTACGGCAGTGCCTTAATTTGGGGTGTGCTGGCTTGTTTGAGTTCAGGGGTGTGGTGGCCCCTGTAGCAAGCAGTAACATGAGAATGAGCGCTAGGTAAAAGCTGAGCGATGACCCAAGGCCAAGTCTAGGCTGCCCGCTTGATTCAGTCTCCCTTCACTACTTGGTGCCTCTGCAAACCTGCTCTATCCTCTGTTGCTCACTTGTGTGTCAAGTGGAGGTTAGAGAGAGACTGCTATACCTCAAACTGTTACCCTAATACACTTCAGTATTAGGGTAACAGTGGCATCAACACAAAGCTGCGTTAACACTAGGCTGCAAGTCTCGTATTGGTGAATCATTCTTCAGGACTAGGTTTCTGGTCAACGAGGCTGCGGTTTAAAATGGCTGTTTTCTTCCTGTCACTTATGGAGCTCTGCCGGGCTATGCCAGGCTGAGGTTAAGCATCTGTTGTCAGTACTTATTGCTAGGTTGCCCTTGACTTAGAGTTTATCGGTGTCACTTCCTTGTTGTAAAATAGGTTGGGTTTGGTTTTTTTCTTTGTTTGCTAAAGATGCTACCAAGGAGACTGGGTTTTAGCCACTTTAGTTAAATCCATGTGCTGATCCATGGACACCCTGAAAAGTTGTAGGGTAAAGCATACTTCAGGCTCCCTCAGCTCAAGGCTTAATCACTACTGTGTTTGTCCTCAGCTAGTTCAGCCAGTCACTAAGCTGGAGGCTGAAGACTACTGCTTGCTTTGAGTAACCTCTTCTCAAAAGATCCTCACACCTCACTTCAACCTTAATACCCTGTCTACAAAGCAGTAGGGAGGACTTAAATCCAGTCAAAAATACATAAAGCTTTTCATTGAAACTTAAAGACCTGTAGCTTGGGGTTGAGTTCTGAGGTTAAGAATTTGGTATGTTTTGTGCCTAGGCTTTCTGGTCACTAGAATCACTACTCATGTTGTTGATCTCTGCTTCTGACTACACGAGTGCTTGGGAAAAGGCCTCTTTGAAGAGAACTGGGAGAAATTGCTTCAGTTCAAAGGTGTCAGTGTACTGATGGTACTTGTTTATTATCCCACTCAGTCAGGGTGCCATGGTTGTGAGGCACAGGAATAAGCAATAAGTTGACTGTAGTCACTGGCAAATTGGTGTAATTTGGGCACTGGGAGAGCCAAATGGATAGTAGTGCTTCTAGCCCTTGCATCTAAACCTTACTCAGCCGTTGGTTAAAAGGTGAAGTGTATTTCATATGTTCTTTAATTTCAGTAAAAGTAGTTATAAGGTGGGATGCTGGGCTACAGTTGTAGAAGCTTTGGGGAGAGTGGTTGGAACACTGTTTTTTCTCACTTGTATTGGAAGAGAAGGCCACTCAAGTGTCTGCATTGGGCTTGTCTCATTCTGATTAAATTTGCACTTTCTGTTGTAATTTAGAAGGCCTTTTTTCTATGTTTATCTCTATTTTTTTTTAACTATTAAAAGAAGTAAGTTCTTGGAAAAATCTCGTACCTCTTTGAAAGAAGTGCCTTTTGGTGGTGTTTTTTTCATTGGTTGTGGTTTTTTTTTTTAAGCTGGCAAAACAAGCTCCTAGAAACAGATGCTTGGATTTGTGATGAGCCCAAATGTGAGATTGGTCACAGTAACTTTTCTCTGCTGTTCTGCACTGTGGTGTTCACTTGTCGTTCTTGGAAACTGGGTTTTGGAACTTAATGATTCTGAAATTCTTGTGCAAATAAACTTCTGCTGGACATTGCTTGGCTCAAGTGATTCTTGCATCTAAATGGTGCTGACGGAGTATTTGTGGAGCTTATTGGCCAGTGTGTGTGTAACATAAATACACTGGGGGTGGGGGGAGGGAATGGTGATGGGGTACACAGTGATGCTTGGGTTTAGGTGCAACTGAGGGTACTTTTTTTTTTACTGCAGATTAGTTGGTTAA